ACAGCGGGGCAACATGGCAAACGTTTTGAAAGCCCTGAGTTATTGCAAAACTATGAGTCAGAGGAATTTTTTTTAAGTGCAAAAAATTATGCGTATAAAATTGCGTTAATAATATTTCAAAAAACCAATTGGTGTTTTAAAATACAATATGCAAATACAGTTTGGTTTTCACCCAATTTTAATATTTTTTGTTGAGTTGTTATATCAAAACCCATTCGCCATGTTGCCCCTATATATAAAAATACATATATAAATATATATATAAATATATATTAATATATATATATATATATATATATATATATATATATATATATATATATATATATATATATATATATATATATATATATATATATACAGTAGTGCTTAAAAGTTTAGCATGATGCAGAATTAAATTTTTTTTCCATATATGTTATTTTTTCAATTATTAAAGCTTTAAAAAAAATTTTTCTTCTATTTATCAATTATCTAAACATAAGCAGATAAAATAAGGCAGAAAATTAAAAAAAAATTTGCAAGCACATTCTTTTTTTTAAGAACATATATTGAGCAATATTTTAAGCTTTAAAAAAGGTGCTCATAATTTTTGCATGCAAGCTCTTCTTCTTAAGGAGAGCTTTTACAAATTTATTTGGTAATTATGCAGTAAAAATTGCATCATAGTAATTAAACTCTTGTTTTTAATGAAATTTAAAAAAATTTAAAGTAGTATGTAGTATTTTATTTTTTTTTAAATTAATTCATCTTTTTTGCTTAAGTCTAGATTATAACAATAATAGAAGTCTGAAAATTTTCCATGGGAAAAAAAACAATAAGTCAAGAAATCAAACACCATATTATTGGCCTTAATATGGGAGGTCACTCTAACATTGAAACTGAATTTTAAAGTGTGTTTCACCATCATGTGTAAGTAGAACTATTGCTAAGTTTAATAAAACTGGTTGCACTGATGACCAGTTTCATTAAACTTAGCAATAGCTGTGGACAACCAGGAAAGACAAATATCACTGATGATAATTCTATTTATAGAATTGCCAGAGAAAATCCTAAATACTCAGCAAAACAGATTGCACAATAAATAAACCTGGCAAAAATCAAATATCAAACCAAACAGTTAATAGAAGACTAATAGACCGTAAGCTGTGGCACTATGTTGCTGCCAGAAAACTATTATTAAATCCAACAGACCGTTTAAAACATATTAAATTTTGCAAAGCGAATGTAAAAATGAGTAATTATGAATTAAGAAAAATTGTTTTTAGTGATGAACCTAACTACACTATTCTAAATCGTAAAAACAAAGTAATTGTCCATAGACACCACAATGAAAAGTATAATAGTCGCTGTATTGTACCTATACTACAAGGTGGAAGTGGTGCAGTTGGGACTACATCACATATGATGGCCCAGGTCTACACATGTTATACAGCGATTGAATGGACCAACATAGATACATTGACATCCTTGAAAAATATTTAATGCCTTCCAGGGACATTTTTTTTTATAACAAGCCAGAGTGGATGTTTCAACAAGACAATGCTCCATGCCATAAAGCAAAATCTGTAACAGAATGGTTTGAGCAAAACAGTATCAAGGTACTTCAGTGGCTAGCTAGATCACCTGATCTAAATCCAATTGAAAATGTTTGAACTGTGTTTGACCGAAAACTTATCAAAGAACAAGTTACTTCAGCTGAAAATCTAAGAGAAAATTCAAAAAAGTCATTTAATGGTTTGACAGTTGAATATTTATAAACTTTTCGAATCAACAGGAAGAAAATGTTCATTATGCATAAAAAATATAGGTGGTCACATTCAGTCACATTTGTGTTTGAAATAACTAAAATTTTTTATCTATTTTTTTATTTTTTACGTTCTAAAGAAAAATAATTTTATTACTGCTGCTGCGTGCTAAACTTTTGAGCACTATTGTATGTATATATATATATATATATATATATATATATATATATATATATATATATATATATATATATATATATATATATATATATATATTGTATAACATCAGTTAAAAAAAAACTGAAATGTAATAAACAAAGAAAAGGTTAAAATGTAATAAAAAATCCATAAAAAATCCTGTTGAAATTTATTTTAAATACTTTATATAAATTCTAAGAAAAAAAATTAATTTCATAAATAGATTTTAACTGCATTTTTTATGGATTTTTATTGGTTTACTTAAAATATTGTGTAAATTTTGTATAATAGGTATTGACCTCATTATCTATTATTTAAAATTTTAAAAATAGTTAAAGGAAATCAAAATAAATACAATAAAACCTAAAAATAACTTAAATAATTATAAATATGATGTACTTTGCATCATTACAATAAATGATCAAATGTTAATATTAATTGTAAATAAAAATCTGCGTCTGCGTCAAACTTGTTTATTTAAACCAAGATTCTGATATTCAATATAAAGTGGTTCATTTATGTGCGGAGAAACAAGTTAAGCCCAGTGCTACCGCAGAATTTATATATAAAATGTTTGACTATATTTCATGTTTTCCAATAAAAAAAAATAATTGTTTAACTTTTGTTAATGTAAAAGCAAACTTTTGAGTAAACTTTTCTTTACAAAATTCTTTGAAATCAAAAATTTTGCTTTGAGCATTTAGAAAGCCTTTACCACATACATCAATTTGAAATATTTAAATTAATTTATTTTCTAATAGGTTCAGAATAGTTATGTTCTAAATTTATTTAATTTGAAAGAATATTAGTAATAATCTAACCACATGGTTATCACACAATAATAGTAATAATCTAATCACATGGTTATCACACAATGATAGTAATATAACACAGGTCAAAAAAAAAAAAAATTTTCTGGTGCCGAGCAAACAATTTGTTTTTTGTATAGCATCTCTCATTTTGATTTCAAATATGCAACTCATTTTTCACTATCACATCAAGTTGTAAAGATATTTGGGTTCAAATCTTTAGTATTTGGGGTAGAGTAGGAACTTTATATATATAAAGTCCCTACTTTACCCCAAATACTAATACTATCAAAAAAAAAGTTATTCAAAAGTATGTCAACCTGGGTCTCAAAAGAAGCATATTTTCATAGAGATTTTAGAAAACATAAATATTTTGCCTAAAAATTTATTGACAAAAAAAATTGTAAAAAAATACTAAAGGCTCTTAAAATAATTTTAACAAAATGTTTCTTAGCAATAATACAAAAAGTACTCATTTTTATTACAAATGAATAACATTTTAAAAATCTTTATGAAAATACGCTTCTTTTGAGACCCAGGTTAACATACTTTTGAATAACTTTTTTTTCGAAAATATTAGAGACTTTACCCAAATACTAAAGATTTGAATTCAAATATCTTTACAACTTGATGTGATGGTGAAAAATGAGTTGCATATTTGAAATCAAAATGAGAAATGTTAGACAAAAAACAAATTGTTTGCTTGGCACCAGAAAAAAAAAATTTTTTTGTTGACCCGTGTGATCTAACCACATGGTTATCACACAATGATAGTAATAATCTAATATACTAATAGTCAGTAATAATAGGCAAACAAAATATTAAAATAATTTTAATTTTAATAGTAAGATTTGAGCTTTTGTTGTAATGATGTAAAATACATAACTGTGGTCCTAAGAAACCTGTTTTATGTTGTGTCAATCAAATGAAATCTTTTTAATTCAAGATTATTTGTCTTACAACAATAGAAAAAACGTCTTTTAAAATACAAACAAGTTGCTAAGAGTCATAAATGAACCAAAAGAGTAAAAATGAAGGGGTCTTTTAGGGCTCATTTTAGCATTTTAGATGCACGTTATAAAAAAATATTTTATTCAAAAGTATTTGTTTTATAAAAATAAAAATGAGAGTTAAAATAAATAAGTAAAAAGTAGGGCAAGGGTAAAATTTAGGGTGCCTAATTCCATTTTATAGGAAGGGGATTAGCCCCCCTCAATATTACCCTTTAGGAATTTTGGTTACAAAATATTTTTTGTAACCAAAATTCCTATCATCCAAGTTTTTAAAGTCAGTCAGTTTACTGAACAGTGTGGAGACCTTTATGAGTTTAAACCTACATAAAACAGTGTGGACAGTGTGAACAGTGTGGAGACCTTTATGAATTTAAAGCTACATAAAACAGTGTGGACAGTGTGAACAGTGTGGAGACCTTTATGAATTTAAACAAAATAAAATAAAATTATTTTTATCAACATCAAAACATTGTGATTTTAATGAAACAAAAGTTTAATTTAGCATTAACTTTTACATAATCCTCTAGAGTAGGAAGCAGGAATCCTCTAGAGCACTAAGCAGGATTAAAATGAACGATTATTGACTGTCATACTATTAACTAAAGTTAATTAACTATTGTTACAATACTTTAAACAATTATAGTACATTAATTCAAACTTTTTTGTTATAATTTGCATAATTATATGCATTGAAATTTTTAAAATTTAAAAAGAGACTTATCTAAACCTATTATTACCCTCACATATAGAATTTCACATACAATTTTGTTTGTTAAGAATTTTTTTTCTAGATTACTTTTTAGATGTAATTCTTATTAGATGTAATTCTTTATTAAGTATTACAAACCTTCATAACTTTTTCATTTTTAATAACATTATAATCTTTGTATTTAAAGAGTTTTTACTTTTTTATTTTTAACCAATGACAAAATATGAAAATTCAAAATATTTATTTTATATTAAAAAAGTGTTTTTATTGCAGCCACATGTTTATAGCCTTTGTGCCACCATACTTAAATATTCACAATACATAAAGATTAAGCCCTGATACTTCATAAATAGATATCTAATGAGCAAAAAGCTCAATTGTTCTTCATGAAAAAAGAGCCAGAAATTTAAATTGTCAAAATTATTTATAATCAAGTATTTAAACACAATTTAAATGAATTACCCTATATTTAATTCAATAAAACCTGTTCTGTATTTATATATTAAATTGTAATTTAATCACTAACCTTGATAAACTATATTCTTTTAATCCATCATGTAACTTTAATGCTGAAAATGTACCAATACATCCTCTAAGCCTTTTTTCAATACCTACCTTCCATGTTACAAATAATGGGCTAAAAAAAAGAAATTATATACTTGATTATATAAATTTTGATATTGTTATATATATATATATATATATATATATATATATATATATATATATATATATATATATTTCCAAAATTTCTTTTTTACACAAGATAGGTAAAACAATTGAGAAATAAAATAAGTTTTTTCCACTTATTAATAAAAACCGTATTTTTACAACAATGTATGTTTCGACTGTTTTATAGTCGAAACATACATTGTTATATACTAATTTTATATACAAATATTCTAGTGTAATAAAATATAAATTACAATTTCTTTATTAATTACGAATAAATAAGCAATACTACAAAATACAATAAAGGTGATATTAAAATATTTGATATTAAATATATTATATTAAATATCATATTAAATATATATATATATATATATTATTATATATATATTTTATTATTATTATATTAAATATATTATACTTATTAAATTAATAAAATATATATATTATTATATATATATATATATATATATATATATATATATATAATATATATATATATATATATATATATATTTATATATTATTATTATTATTATTATATTAAATATCATATTAAATATATATGATAAATATCAAATTAAATATAAAATATTAAATAATGACTTATAAAATGGTAACTGTTATGTGAAAAGAGATACCTTATAATGGTTCAACTTTTTTCCATTCAATGAACAAACTTTCCTTAACTTTAAGCTTGAATTTATTGGAGACAGAACCCAATATCGAAAAATATTTATTATTATAATTATCAAAACAATTATTTTAGCATGGAGATGTATAAGGATTGTATTAAATGTTGAGGGAATAAATAAATTACTCTTAAAATTTAAACATAATAATAATAATAATTTAATTTATATTATTTTTATATTATATTTCATAATAATATTAATTTAATATTTAAACATATAATAATAATTTATTTAAACCTAATAATAATAGTTTAACATTATTAGAAAAAACATTTTTTGAGTTAATTCTCAATTAAAATAGGTTTCGCAGTAATTTACTGAATTACATTAGTTTAAAAAAGTTAATGTCTGTAAATAAAAAAAGCAAATAAAATTTATTATTTTATTACAAGGCAAGCCAAATAGATAAAGAATAACTACTTGACATATTATATACTGACTTAGCAAATTTTTTTCAAAAGCATTTTGCATTAATTGACAATGTTTCATAGCATTTGTCAGTTTCTACAAAAACTTTTTACATTGAAGTTATCATCAAATGGTATTAAATATAATTCATTGACATGGATCAAGTCATTTTTATCTGAAAGACAACAAAGAGTTGTTTTGGGCATCACAGCAAAATATTGTGAGTATAGAGCAATTGATCAGTATCAACTTCGTACTAGTTTTGATTTTCAAAAACAATTTACAGGCCTTGTTTTAAATAAAAAATGATTAACGCATTAGCTTAACGTGATATTTGACATCATAAAATTGTCTTTATTTTTTTATTTTTTAAAGACATTAACTTTTTTAAATTACTGAAATAATATTAATTACCGCAAAACGAGTTAAATGTTATTTAACTGCTTTTTTATTATTACTATAAAGAAATGTTTATTTTATCTTAACATTAAATGATTAAATTTTTAAAAATGTTTGTTAGTAACAAATTTCTTCCTTTTCTCGACATTTGCATAAATGAATTAAAACATGTTAAATTTTTACAATGATTATTTCTTAAATTTCTAATTGCAGCTTTGCAACTACAAATGATTTTTTATTTTTAAAAAATTATTGAGTAACAAATAAAAGAATTACATTAATTTATTTACTTTATTTGTTTAAAGTTTATTATTTTATTATTAAAATTACATTGCTGAATATATTATTTATGAAAAAATAATTGCTGCAATTTAACTTGCGTTATAAAAAAAAAAGTTTTGTACAAACTTTTTTTTTTACGTTTTGTACAAACTTTTGACGCAGCTGTTTATTTAAAATTTAATTTTGAGTAAAAAAAAATGTTTGGGAAGGAAAACCAAAAAAACAATTGCAATAAAATAAAGCTGATTTTTTTTAAAGAACAAATAAAATTTAAAAATTGAACAATATTTAGTGATATTTTAAAATAGATTTGATAGTTAAGTTAAACCCAAGCTTTAACTCTAATTTTAATAAACTTAAATATATTTTTTAAATTAATTTTTAAAAATTAAATTATATATTTTTTAAATCTAATTTAAATCATAAATTATTTTTTTTATCAGAATAAAAATATATACATTTTTATTAAATTATTTTTAAATTGAATCATCTATTTTTTATCAGAATTAAATCATATTTTTATGATCTTACCTTCAAGCTTAAAAAATCAATCAATACAATAAAATAAAAATAAAATAAAAGTAAACTTTTAATTTTATTAGAGTTTTTTTCATCAGTAAATATTTAAATTTATTATTCAGATAGTGCTTATATCAAACATAGTTGTTATTCAAACTTTTGTAACAAATATTTTTACATAAACATCATTCAAAAGTTTTGAATGACGTTTTTTGTTTTACTTTTTCAATATTAATTACTTCTTTTATCTTACTGCTTATAGTATAATTTAAAAGTTGAAAAATGAGAAAAAGTCGCTTGACCAAAATTGCTTACTGCTTACATAAAAATCACTTTAGGTATACATAAATCGCTCTATGCTTAATGGTTTAAAACAAGGTCTGATTTAGTAGAACAAGCAACTAGCACCACAATATTTTATGTTGATGATAACTAACATACTGCAACTGTTAATTCCTATACCAATTGAAACCATACAAATAAGATTAACAAGCTAGTAGAACAAGCAAGTAATGAAAAATAAGTTTCAATATTGATTGATATAAGATAATAGGTTTTAGCAAACACAACCAAAACTTAAATTATTACATGATTGACTATGAAAGTATGATCAAATTACACTATGTAACAAATTTTCCCTTTTTTTCTGTCCCTGGGATGAAAGTATGTTTTCCTAACCCGTTAGGTATAGAACAAAAAGGAAATTGTTGTTATTCCAGAAAAAATTTCCTTCTGTGACCATGACAATGAAATTCAGAAAATGAAGTGTTTTCAAGAAAATTCTTGAATTGCTTTCAATGTCGAGCTTCCTCCTATAATATTTCTGAACTGATAGACTTGTTAAGATGTTTCTACAACTCTCCTAAAAAAACAATTTTCTAAAATATTCAAGAAACTTCCAGAACTTTCAAGAAACTCTCAGAACTTTCTAGAATGTTCCAAAAGTATCTGTACCAGTATAAAAGCACAGGTATCTCGAACCAAGATTCCAATTCATGTTACTGTAGACTGAAAGGATAACAATTTGTAGTTAAAGAGAAGTTATTTATTTGATATGGCATCAAGAGGTTGTTTGCATCTAGCTGATTCATTTTGGTATGTGTGCGGATAATTCATAAAGACGAGAGCAAAAAAGTATTCAGCGGAAGCAATTTATATAATGTGCAAAGCCTACAAGGCATACTTTGGCTGCTAGTCAGGGACCAAGACAAATCTTGGGCACCATATTTCACATGCAAATATTGCATGAAAACACTTGAAGATAAACTGAATAATTGTTTCTTGCATAGATTAGTTTTAATTTATTTTAAAATATATCCTATATTTTGAAATTTCCTGTCCTCAAATCATTATAATTCTTATGCATTATTATGTGCTATGTTATAAGTTAGTACAGAAGAGAGAAGCGAGCAATAAAGTTTGCTGTCTCACAAATTTGGCGAGTGCTGATGGATCACTTAAGCAACTGCTACTTCTGCATGGAAAACTCAAAAAAACTGTCACACTGGCAAAAATGCACCTCAGATTATTTATCCGGATATCGCCCCAGTACCACACAGCCCCAATCTGCCTGTTCCATGAATGGCGCTTATTCATAGACAATTCATCCAAGAGCCTCAAAGCCATGTTGCTTCACAATTGAAGTAACTACTCATCTTTCCTAATGGCTAATTCTGTGCATCTCAAAGAGGACTACACCAGTGTCAAAATGTTGCTGAGTACATTAAAGTTTGATAACTATGGATGGAAGGTCATCAAGTAGGTTTCACAACTTTTTTGTGAAACCTACTTGAAGGGTCTTCAAGTAGGTTTCACAAAATTTTCTTGTTTCCTGTCTCTGGGACAGCCATGACATTAAGGTGCATTATCCCAAAAAGGACCGGCTACAACAGACCAAGTTTTCTGTAAGGAAGACCAATGTGAGTGGGAACCGTTGATAGAACCTTATATAGTGCTTATGCCATTGCTGCACATTAAGTTAGGCCTCATAAAGCAATCTGTCACTGCTCTTGACAAGAAATCAGCAGCATCTCAATACCTCCAAGATCTTTTTCCAAAGGTGTCCAAGACAGGGCTGGTATATTTGTTGGATCGAGAAAATCATAGAATGTGAGGATTTTGCAAAACTGTTGAACAGGACAGACAAAATAGTTTGGAGCACTTTCATTGCAGTTGTTCAGGGCTTCCTAGGTAATCATAAAGCTGAAAACTATGTGGAGATGGTACTGACTCTCATAAAGAATTACGTCAAAATGGGATGCAAAATGTCTCTGAATGTCAATATCCTTGATTTGTATCTTGAAAAATTCAAGGGGAACATGGGTGCTTACTCTGAGGAGCAAGGCAAGGACTTTCATCAAGATATATTGGACTTTGAATGTAAAACCAAGGACAGCATTACAAAAAAAAATGATGGGAGACTATATTTTTGAGCTACTTTGAGAGAGTGATTCACAGTACAATCGTAAATCTAAAAAATCTAAATATTTCTGAATCTTGTTGAGTGGTTTACAACTTTACTTCCGACTGTGTTTGTCTATTCCTTGTGCAATTTTTGTTTTTACCTGATTATAATGACAAAAATAAAATAAAATTGTTATATTTTCATTAAAAACAAGTTTTTTTCATGTTGTTGTAGTGTAAGCAAAGTTTGCGCTTAATGAAGTCATTTTTTCACATACTTTAGACAAAGGCAATTGAAATATTACACTTAGAAGCCAGGAACAAAAATTGTGTTACATAATTTTATTAACAACAAACCTTGAAAGAGATTTAAGAGTTTAATATCAGAAAATTTAAATAGAATATTGATGACACGCTGTAACTGACCATGCTTATATTTTTTTCCATTACAATTTGACTACAGAAACAATTTACAATTTAATGTTTTGACAATTTAAATGCTATAAAAAATCTATCAGACAATTAAAATGGAATATCAGGCTTGGACAGGAATAGCGTGCAATGACACTCTGTAACTGACCACCCTTATAATTTTTTTCTTTGCAATTTGACCACAACAACAATTTACAATTAGATGCTTTAATAATTAAAATGCTATAAAAAAATTGTTATGTTAAGAATAACTTTTAATGGTTGATCTTTTTTAAAGTTTTTATTTTACGTGAAGGCTTTAAATAAAATAAAAAATTAATATTAGTGATTGCTTAAAATAAACTCATTTTTTGTAAATTAACAATAATGTTAAATCTAAATTTTTTTTATGTAGGATGTATTTTTTATGATAAATTCAAACATATGAAAATACTTTTCCATGTCTTTCTAAATATCTTTTGAAAAATAATTACTTTTTTTATTTTGTTTCTATATTTACAAAGAATTTTTAAAATAGAAGCAAAAAATTTAAAATAGTATTTAAAAAATACTATTATAAATAGACTATGATATTTTTTTAAACATTTTTTTTTTTTTTTTTTTGTTTTGTGCAACTTTTTGAAAAAAAATTTTGCTTTAGTAAAATATTCGGAATATATTTTTTTTTATCTTACTCCTAATTTTGACTTTAGCTGAATTGTTTTCAATTTTTTTTTATCTTTCTATGAGTGATAAGTGAAAAAGATTAAAAAACAAATATATTACAAAAATTTATACCAAAACTTACATGTATAGAAAATGTTTTGGATATCCAGAAAAACTAAAACTTAAAAAAAATATTTTAAATTTTAGAATTCTGGAAATATCCAGAAAAAGATAATCCCTTTCCCTAACTAACCAATACCAAGTTTAGTTGAACTATTTTCTATAAAGAATATCATAGATTTAACATGGTATTAAATCTCAACAGCAATACTTAATATTATCATCATTATAATTTTTAAAGTAAAATTAAAAAAAAAAAATTAATAAATACTGTATTACTAATTAATTATATTAAACTATAATACATTTTAATACAATGACAACAATAAAAAGCATAGTTAAAAAAAAAGATGTTTCTAAATGTAAAGTACTTTTTATAAAAATAGGCGGTAAACATATGATTTTTAAAGTACTTTTTTAAAAACTTTAAAATACCTACATGTAATGAATATCTGAACAAAGAATATTTAACTTATAAATACATTACAAGTGTGTGGACCTTATAAGTTATAAGTTGTATAACTTTATAAATCAATATTTTCAATTAAACAGAGGTAACTTGAAAATTTTTAATATGTGTGCTATATAAAATTAACTAACTATTATTTAATCAAAATATTTAAAGTTTATTAAATCTTACTATGGATCATTTGTAAACTTTGGAGACTTGTTTTTTGGAAGTTCTAATTGTTTTAAATGACTCAGTAAAACATCAAAGCAATAATAAACCATATCTTTAGAGACAATTAATCTCAAATGAATTCCATTCAAATTGTATTGATTTTCTTGTTCTTGAACCCAACCATTTGATTGTCGCTTTCCTCGTATGGCTGCTTTGTTTAATTGAACTTGATTACAAAACTTTTCTTCCCTTTGTCTTTTCCCAACCATTTTAGCAAAACTTATAGTTGATAATATAAAAATCTTCTAAATTTTCTAAAGAATTAGTATTAAATTCCTAGACCTTGAGGTCCAGGAATAAACAATTTTGGTCACTCGCCTTTTCAAAGTATTAACTACAACGTTCAATAACGAATTATATTTTTTTATAGTCGGTTTAAATTTTGTTTATTTTGTTTTTATGATAAAGTCTAAAACGCCGTGTCCGAGAACAAATTTATACAAGCAACAGAGCATAAGATCAGAAATTATAGTCAAGGACTTTTTTTTAAATTTTTCAGTTCTAAAATCTTATATAAAACTTAAGTAACTCTGCAAAATGCCTCCATAAAATCATTTTGCTTTAAAAAATCTGCGATGGAGTTTTAATAAAAGTAAAAAGAAAAAAATAACTATTCTATCAAACTATTGTAATAAACTATAGCGTCTTTATCAAAGGTTGGACTTTGAACATTTTTAAAATGTTTTTTTAAGAATTTTTTAAACGCATTTAATTTTTTTTAAACTTTTATACTTTTTTTATGTTATAATACTTTTTAAGTTTTTATTTATTTAGCATTTACATATTTAAAATTTAAATTTAATTCATTTTCAATTAATTATATTTACATATTTGAAATTTAAATTAAACTCATTTCATTTCAATTTATTCTTTAAAAAATCAAGTATTTTAGACGATTGCGCAAACGTGTTAATCGTAGAAGACCAAGAGCAATAATAAATATAGTTACAGAGATAGAACACTAAAGAAGGCAGCTAATTTTAATAAACATAATTGTAATGTAACTAATTTTATTAAATCTATTTGTAATATAACTTTAGTAAATATAGTTTCAGAGATAGAACACAAAAGAAGGCAGCTGCTTTAACGGATATTTGTTTGATTTGGGTTGTTGTTTAGATCAGCCGATAGGCTGATTTAGAAATCAAAACGAGAAAAATGAGACTTGTGCGAAATAATTTTTCACGTCCTGATTTTTTGAAGTCGCGTTCTAAACCTCAAAAGAGCCATTTTCGCGTCAAAACATCTATATATATATATATATATATATATATATATATATATATATATATATATATATATATATATATATATATATATATATATATATATATTCAACTATATATATATATATTTATATATATATATATATATATATATATATATATATATATATATATATATATATATATATATATATATATATATATACATATATATATATATATATATATATATATATATATATATATATATATATATATATATATATATATATATATTCAACTAAAAATGTTTTATGAATTGCCTTCCCACGTGGGAAACAATTGTGGTTTTATTTTACACTTTGGTAAAGTGTAACGTAACACTTTACCGATAAAGTTTGGGAAAATGTAACGTTACAATTTACCCTGAACTTATATCGTGTCTGACGGTTGGATTTCATATAGGAAACTGAAAACATAAAAAAATGGAATCTACTCCCACACAGTTGTGGTATATGAGCGTCATTTTGTTAATCCTCTGAATGATAAAGTTCATACTCAAAATGTAAAAATCTTTGAATGTGACTTAAACGTTAAATGCGACAACAGTTTGATACGTCAAAAGACCTATCTTATCTTCATGAGTTTATTTTGCGTCAAACGTTTTAAAAATTTCGCCATTTTTTCTTGCTTTTTGCGTCAATATCTTGTTTAAACTGTAACATAAACGACTATTTTCATAGTCAACATGAATCAAAAACATATTAGCATGAACAATAGTTTTAATAACCTATACTCTATAATTATAAATAATTTGAGTAAAATAAATACGTAGATATTGTATTCATTTATACCAAAATATTATATTTATATTTATCAAAGAAATAAAAAATAAAATATAACATATTTAATTACACAAAGTTTTTAACAATGATTGTAAAAACATGAAATAAAATGTTTTAAGAAAAATTTAACTACTCTAAAGTTAATCCACATGTTATTTTTAAACATTCTGTTTTATTCATTTAACATTGAAAATGAAAATAGCACAAAGTGCATTCAAAATAATGAAAATACAGTAAGCAGAGTCGCGCTTTTATTTTCTACAATCACTACCATGGTCACTGCTCAGGCGATGCATTTCTTACTCATCTCTTGTTTAATTCAAAAAACCCAATTTGTTCCAACGCAAAACTCTTATTCTACCTAGAGTGGAATGCAAGAAGCAAACTTGAGTCAAGTTCGACTTGAACTTTACTTTGTAACCAATAGCGGCAGAGTATTTTTTGAGGGGAAAACCTATTCTCTGTTGCTATTGGTTGCAATGTAAAGTTCAAGTCGAGCTTGACTCAAGTTCGCTTCTTGCATTCCACCCCTAAACTCAATTTCACGTGACTCATTTAGCAAAGTTGCATCCTTTTACTGTAACTGTTCCACCATGCTCAAAAACCTTTATAAACTTAGTTTTTTTTTTACCTCAAACACAATAATTTAGAAGTCCTGTCTTCATGTTTTCCTCAGTCATGGCGTTAATAGTTTTGAAAGTGTTTGAAAGTTATAAAAATCTCTCAACCGTTTTCATGTTGTTTAACTCTCTTCTTTGCTTTCTGTTAATTACCAACTTACATAATATTAATTGCCGCTTATTTGGAAGTAAATTTGCTATTAAAAATATATATTAAATTGTATAATTTTTTCACAAAAATTCTAATTCATTTGTTGAGTTCAACAAGTAGAGTTTATTTGTTGTTTAACAAATAGAGTTTAAAAAATGATCTCGATATTTACTTGAAACATCTAAAATATTTGTTGAACTCTGTACCTGTACCTCTGAACCTTTGCTGTGTTGTAACTGCTCCATAGCAGAGTATAAAACAGATATTGACACTTATATTAAAGTTTTTAACTTATGCATCCAAAAGGCTATGTTTAATTATATCTCACAAAGGTAGTATAGCAAAATGAATATAGCATTGTTAGGTGGTCTGATCTAGTTCCAGATAAACATGAAGCTGCCGGAAAAAGTTTTTTGTGAATGGTTTATTAATGGAAAGTCACATACTGGTTTCATTTATAAAGTAATAAAATGTACATGTGCCCAATTCAAACTAGCATTGAGGTTCTGACAAAACAATAAAGATATGCTCCGAAATAAGGCCCTAGCAAAAACTTTTTTGAACAAAAACAAAGGTAGCAGTTTCTGTAAAAATATTAAAAAGATGTAGAGGAAGGTTGCATAGGCCGAACATGTTAACAGGGTATTATTTTTTGCAGCTTAAATATGATAATATTTATATTTATTTTTGCAGATTACCATAATTTAGTCTTTTCTCTTAAAGAATATAAATGAATAGTTCATTCTTTATTTTCAATACACCCAATCATCTCATCTTAAGAAATCTGTTTCCAAAGATGAGTTTTTTTTAATAGAACTCAAAAAAACTCAAAATAGCAAAACAATATCCATAAAATTAAAAAATATTGTATCTTTGAGGACTTTTTACTAAAGTAAAAAGTAATTATCTCAACCGTAAAAAAAAAAAAAAAAAAAAAATCTTTCTTTTTTCTAAAAAATTTTGCAATACTATTTTTTGGAAAAAACTTTTGCTCATGAAATACCAAAATAAAGGTATGTGGAGAATGACTTTAAAAAAACGCGCTTTTCTTATCAAAATGAACTCTTGAAATATCTAAACTACTAATTAATTTGCCGATATTTTCTTAACTCAAAAAAAAAGTGGGTAGGCCATGGCTCTCTTGACGGCCATTTAAAAAATGATTAAGAAGAATTTCTAGGGATACCTACATAGAAAATAAAAATATTTGTTTATCTGAAAACAGAACAATTGTGAAAAAACCAAATATTTTTATATTTGGTTTTTTCACAGGAAAAAAAAGGTTTCTGCAAATCGTGTAGAATTAGTTTTCGCAAGAAACAAGAGGGACTTGTTTTGCACTCTCTCTTATGCTTGATATTAGGTCAATACAAGTGAGACCTAAAACAAGAGGCACGATGTGTTGTTGCCTAATATGCCGAACTGGTTGTTCAAAGTTGCAAGAAAAACATCCTCTTATAGAGCAAACCACTATTGCGAAAAAACCAAAGGTGCGTTGCAGCAAATTGCCTCAGCCTTTTAGGAAAAGATTTGCCCCACCAATGCTCTCAAATAATGTTAAAGGAAAACATTCAATTTTTAGCAGCAAAAGATGCCAAATCATCCAAACAAATCACACCTCGAGTTATTTCTAATAAAGAATTATCTCCGGAAGGAACTATTTTACTGGCTAAAGCATCCGGCGGGCCTCCACTTACAGTTACCCCTGGTAAATATTTACACTGAAACAATTTTAACATATATATTGAAATAAAATCTTGACTATTAAAAAATAATACAAGATAGATTTCAAGAAGTATATTTTTGACAAGTTTCTAATTTCTTTAAAAACGAATAATTTGAAAGTTTTACACAAACTTACTAAGCAAAGTTTATTGTAACTATAAAATATGCATGTTTTGGTTTTAGGTCAAACTAGTGCGCAGACACCATCAAAAGCTCCGAAATTGACCACTGTAGCCCTTGTAAATGTGCAATTAAATACGGGCCTGTCAAACAACGGATTAAAGAAACTTTTTAGAACTGTAAACAAAACATCAAGCAGCAAGATGGTAGAGCAAGATTTCTACATAAATTTTCTAAGACTAGGTCAACAATTGAGCAATTTCTTCACCTGCAGCAACTTAAAAATCACAGACGAAAAAACAGATTCTTGTACAGTTCATGTTGTTGCTCACTGCAATGATTTATCAAGTCTTGTGAATCATGTTATTCAGTCCCGCAAAATTTCTGGTGGCTATTTTGTTAAGCTCGAAATTGATGGTGGCAAAGGTTTTTTTCAAGTTTTGTCTAAGCATTGTTGATCCTGCGTTAAGGGATGAAATCAGCTCACCGCACCAACAACAACCTCTCACTCAAAGGACTGGTAAAGACACTGGTATCAAGAGATTATTGTTAACGTTTCAGAAGATTTGCCAGAAACACACTCCAATATTGAACAAATCTGGTCACTAATTAATGCAAATGGAGTTAAACTAATTTTAGCTTGTGATATGAAAGTTGCAAATATAATTTGTGGTCTTCAAACTCATTCAAGTACGTACACTTGCACCTGGTATGACGTCAAATCCAATTGTCTTAAAAAATCTGGAAACTTGCGAACACTGGGCTCAATTAATTTAAGCCTTAA